AAAAAAACCCCAGACTCTGAATATTGTACTAGAGCGCCAAGAAGACAAAGCAAAGGGAAGAAATCAAGATGTTAAGGAGCCGAACAGAAGATTTTAGAGGGCAACATGGGAAGACAAAGCAAAGTATTACAGTGAAATGTGCATAGAGGTGGAAAATCAAAAGGGGCAGACTCGCTCAGTATTTCTTAAGTTGAAGGAACTGAAAACAAATTGAAGCCTCAAGTTGCACTACTTAAGGATGCTGTGAGTAGAATGTTGAATACCTAGGAAGCACCAAAAGAAGATGGAAGAAGTACACAGAGTCACTTATACCAAAAAGAACTGGCTGACAGAGAAGAATTTCATGAAATAACATATGATCAAGAACCTGTGGTGATGAAGGAGGAAGTTTCAAGCTGCTTTGAAGGAATTTGCAAAAAACAAGGCCCCAGTAATTGATAGCATACCAGTTGACATATCAACAAACAGATGCTGCCCTGGACGTGCTCACCAACTTATGCCAAGAAATCTGGAGGACAACCACCTGGCCAACTGACTGGAAGAGATCCATATTTATTCCCATTCCAAAAAAGGGGACCCAACTGAGTGTGGAAATTATCGAACAACATCATTAATATCACATGCAAGTCAGATGCTGCTGAAAATTATCAAAAATGACTGGAGCAACACGTCAACAGAGATGTGCAGACTGGGCTTAGAAGAGGATATTATAGCCAATGTTAGATGGGTCTTAGCTGAAACAGTACCAGAGGAATGTCTGTCTGTGTTTCATTAACTATACAAAGGCATTTGACTGTGTGGATCACAACAATCTATGGCTAATAGTGAGAAGAATGGGAATCCCAGAACACATGATTGTGCTTATGCAAAATCTATACTTTGACAGGAAGTGGTCACCAGAATAGAGCAAGGAAACACATGGTTCAATATCAGGAAACGTATATGGATACATCCTGTCTCTATACCAATATGTGGAACAGATCATCTGGGAGGCTGGGCCCTGTGAGGAGAAATGTGGTATCAGGATTGTAGGAAGACTCATCAACAACCTACGTTATGCAGATGACACCCTTGCTTGCGAAAACTGAGGAGGACCTGAGGCATTTCTTACAGAATGTCAAGGAAAGGACTACAGCTTTCAATATGGATTGAAGTTCAACGTCAAGAAGACACAGATTCTCACCACTGGGCCAACTGGCAGCTTCATGATAGATAGTGAAGATAGTGAGATTGTTAACAGCTTCAGCTTGCTTGGTTCTACAGTCAACACACCCTTGGTACCAGCAGTCAGGAAATCAAGAGATGAATTGCAATGGGAAAATCTGCTGTCAGGGACCTATCCAGAGTACTGAAGAGCAATGATGTCAGTCTGGAGACAAAGGCATGTCTCTGATCCAGGCCATGGACTTCGCAATTACTTGCTATGCTTCAGAGAGCTGGACAGTAACTAAGGTTGATAGAAAAAGAAAAAAATGCTGCTTGTGGGTTTGTTGGTGAGTATTGATTATATTGTGGACTGCTAAAAGAACAAACAGATTCGTCCTGGCTAGGGTAAAACTAGGCTGCTTCTTGAAGGCGAGGCTTTTGAAGCTTTATCTGACATACTTTGGGCATGTTGCAAGAAGGGACCAGTTCTTAGAGAGGAACATCATGCTTGGAAGGGTGGAGGGACAGTGCAAGTGAAGAAGACCTAGGATGAGATGGATTGACTCAGTGACTGGGGTAAAGTGGGTAGGTATGTCAGAGACAGTGAAGTTGGGTCATGATAGAGCAAAGTTTAAGGCTGTTGTATATAGGGTCACTGTGAGTCAGAGTCTACTCTATGGCACATAACAACAAGAACAACATACTGATATTTATATATATATTTTCTACTACAGATTACACTCCTGTACCTTATTATTGCATTTATAGTTCAAAATAGAATGTTTTCTAGTTGACTCTCATTTCCTTTTGTTGTATCTCCAGACTTTTGGGGTTTTTTGAGTACTTGATTACATTCTGGCACTGTAGAATGCTCCCAGCTTATTTGGGGTTTTTTTCTTTTTTTTTTTTTTTAATTTTGTACTGCTTTATTTACAAAGTTCAAATACATTGTTTTTCACATCAGATCTTTCCCATTTCCTTCACCCCCACTCCCCCATCAAATTGTGTGACCCTATGATTAACCTTCCCCTACCCCCCCAACCCATCCTCACTCCTCCGCATCAGATCCTCATGCACGTTCTACAATAATGGTCTTCCACAGTAGGAACCGAGTTAGTTCACTTAGCATAATGTTCTCCAGTCCCTCCCAAGTTAGGTAGTGATTTACAGAATCATTGCTTCTGCTTGCTGCATAGTATTCCATTGTGTGAATGTACCATATTTTCTCAGTCCTTTGAATTGTGGTTGGACATTTGGGCTGTTTCCCATGTTTCTGTGATGATGAATACTGCTGCTATGAACATTGGTATACAAGTTTATGAGCCTACATTCTCATTTTCTTGGGGTATATTGTAATCAGTGGAATAGCTGGATTATAATGGATATATAGATATATGAAATGTCTATGTTCAGCTTTTTGAGAAAGCACCAAACTGCATTCCAGAATGGTTGTACCATTTTACAATCCCATCGACAATGTATGAGAGTTTTTATCTTGCCACATCTTCTCCAACATTTATTACTTGCTGTCCTGTTAAACTTTGCCACTGCTACTGGAGTGAGATGGTGTTGATTTTGGTTTTGATTTGCATCTCTCTTATGGCACATCTGAATATATTCCTCTGGAAATTCTTTCCATGTCATTTCCCCATTTTGTAACTACTTTATCAGTCTTTTTCTTGTGGAGGCCCTGTGCGATTCTGTAAACTTTTGTTTTGAGACTCTTGTCTGAAATGGTATTGCCAAATGCTTTTTCCCAGTCAGCAGGTTTTCTTTTCTCACTCATAGCTTGTTTTGTGGTCCTTGTCCTAGTTTTGCATATAACTTTACAAATAAAGATGTTTCTTAAAGTTTGTTTTTGTCTTGAGCTTAACTATTTATAAGGAGCTTTATCTCTGACTCAACAAAACAGCTAGTTGTGTCATGCATAATATGTTGCACTGCTAACTAAAACATGAAAATTTTGAATCTACCAGCTGCTACATGGGATAAACATGGGCAATCTCCTCCCAAAAAGTTTTACAGCCTTGAAGACCGCAGTTGAGGGTCAAAAGTAGCGAGAATTGACTCAATGACAGTGGGTTTGGTTTGAGTTTTAATTTTTAATCTGATTTGGAGAGTGGTGCTGGATTGAGCAGTGACTGGATTGAGCAGTGACTTTCCCTTTGACTTAGGGTTGTTATGAGGTGGAGTTGACTATGCATCTAACAATTTTAAATCAAAGTAAATGATCTATTCCTTTTCATTTAACTAAATAGAATCTCTTCTTGCCTGTGGACTGTTCGTCATGTGAACTCTTGTTGTTGTTGATTGCTGTCAAGTCAAGCATGACTCATAGCGACACTATGACCAAAAGGCCTGAAGCCTGCCTGTAACTATTGTTGTTTCTCAAAGTTCAGAGTTTACAAAGACAAATTATTTAGGAAGTAGATGCCACTCTTGCAAGATACTGGGAATTTTGTGATTAGATTTTTTTCTTAGGAAAATGAGTATCAGGCTTAATCCAGTTTGTTTAGTGATAGATCTCTTTTCAGAAGTGAATGTATTTATTTTTTTGAACTTTAGTGTAAATTAAAAATTTTCTGTTTTGAGTCTTTTAAGCCACTGGAAATAAACTAACCTCTGTTTTGAATTTCACTTTGATTGTCAAATTGGGACAAGCTTTAAAAGTTGAATTAGTTAGTTTGGTTTTCTAAAACTTAGTAATTAAAAATAGTTTTGGAAAAAATGTATATAAATTTAAAAATTGGCCTGTTATTGCTAACAGTGGTCCATTCCTTTAATCCTGTGCTGTTTTCCTTTGCAGAGAATATGGCTGGTCACTACATTTCTCCATTCCATGATATTCCTCTCACTGTGGACTCCAAAGAGGTATTGCTTTAACTTATTTTTGAAATGAAATTATATACTTCTACCAGGAGTGGCATCCACTTCCTAAACAATATGCATCTGGAAACTGATAAATGTCTATAGTTGTAGAGGGGCTTCATGTCTTTTGTTCATAGGATAGCTCTGAGCCATACTCGGCTCGAAGGCAATCAACACCACAAATTCCATCATAAAATACATTTTGGAAGCACTGTGGGGGAAAGAAAAAGATTACTGAAAATTATGAAGTGAAACAAAGGACTTATAACAGAGTGGTAAGCTTCCTTTGTGAATTAGAATTTTTATGATGATAGTATTTTTCTAGATGGTCTTAGAAAACAGTAACTAGTAGCCCATAAACCTTAGAAGTTTGTTGAAAATACATATTTAACTTAACAAGAGGGTTATTTGTAATCATAACAGTGTAGTTGACATTGACTTAAGGGTAGTGGGATTTTTTTTTTTGTTTATGTCTATATGTAAGGAGCTCTGGTAGCATAATGTTTTATATATTGCTTTAGTTTGAATCCACCAGCCTCTATCCATGAGAAAGATTGCAAAGTCTTCTCTTTAAAGATTTAAAACCGTGGAAACCTGATAGATAGATGATTATGATGAGTTGTAACCAACTCAACTGCATGAGGTTTGGTTTTGAGTATATATTTTTAAAAGAATATCCTTATGTTGTTATTGTTAGTTGTTATTTCTCTGTGTATCTTAGCCACCCTAAGAACAACAGATTTGAACCCTGTCCTGTCCTGTACCATTCTCACAATCTCCAACACCCTCAAGCCCATTGCCATATTCATTTTATCAGTCCGTCTGGTTGAGCGTTTTCTTCTCCTTTGCTGTACCTCCAGCTTCTCGAGGATGATATTCTTCTCCAGTGAATAGCCTTTCCTAGCAACATGCCCAAAGTATGAAGCTGCATCATCTTTGCCTCCAGGGAGCACTCTGGTTGCCCTTTCTCCAAGACATATTTGTTTGTTCTTTTGACACTCCACTGGATATTCAGCACTCTTTTTCTTTTTTTAAAATTTTATTATTTTTGTGTGTATGTGTACCATCAAATTGGATCTGACTGGTACAGGAGGAGATTGCCCCTCCTTTTCCAGCAGAGCACCTGGTGGACTTGAACCTTGTGCCTCTAGAATTGCAGTGCAGCTTCTTGCCACTAGGCCACCAGATCTCCCTTTCAGCACTCCTTTTCAACACCACAATTCAAAGGCATAAATTCTTCATCTGTCATTCTTAGTCATTGCCCAGATCTTAGATGCATAGCAAGTGACAGAAAAGATTATGGCCTGAATCAGGCATACCTTAGTCTTCAAACTGACATCTTTGTTCCTCAGTAGTTTGGAGAGTTCTCTGACTGCAGACCTTGACAGTGCGATGCATTTCCCAATCTCCTGACTAGTAGTACCAAGTGTACTAATTGTGGATCCAAGTAAGATGAAGTTGTTGACAGTTTCACTTTTCTCCATCATGATGTTGCTTATTTATCCAGTGGCTAGAGTTTTGGTTTTCTTGATGTTGAGATACAATGCATACTGCTGCTTGTATTCTTTGATCTTCTGCAACAAGTGCTTCAAGTCCTCCTCACTGTCAGCAAGGAAGGTATATCACTTATTGTTGTTATGTGCTGTCGAGTTGCCTGCAACTCATAGTTACCCTGAGTACAACAGCACTAAACCCTGCTCTGTTCTGTGCCAATCTTTTTGTCTCTGACACACCTTCCCCCATTATCTCAGTGACCGAATCAGTCCATCTCATCGAGGGTCTTCTCCTATGCTACCTCCACCCTCCCAAGCATGACGTCACTCTTCAAGGACTGGTCCCTCCTTGCAACATGTCCAAAGTATGTCAGACGAATCCTTGCTTCCAAGGAGCAGCCTGGTTTAACATTCTCCAGGAAGAACTGAAGGTTATTGATGAATCTTTCTCGTATCTTGATACCACATTCTTCATAGTCTAGCTTCTTGAATAATCCTCTCTGCATACAGATTAAATACAGAAAGGATACAACCTTGACACACACTATTCCTGATTTTAAACCATTCAGTGTTCCCTTGCTCAGTTCTCACCATAGCCTTTTGGCATGGGTTATGCACCAGTACAATTAAGTGTTCCGGAATCCCATTCTTTTTGATGTTAGCCATAATTTGAATGATCCACACAATTAAATGCCTTTGCATAGTCAATAAAGCACAAGGAGATGTTCTTCTGGTGTTCTTTGCTTTCAGCCAGGATCCATGCGGCATCAGCAGTGATATGCCACGACTTGTCTAAATCCAGCTTGAATGTCTGGCAGTTCTCTACGTTCTAGCCATTTTTTTTAATGCTCTACAGCAGTATTTGCTTGCATATGATAATAATACTGCTCGATAATTTCCACATTCTTTTAGATCACCATTCTTTGGAATGGGAACAAATATTTCTAGTCAGTTGGCCAACCGGCTGTCTTCCAAATTTTCTGGTATAGACTGGTGAGAATATCCATCATTGCATCTGTCATTTGAAACATTTCAGTGGGTATTTTATCAATTTCTGGGGCCTTAATTTTTGTGAGTACCTTCTGTGAAACTTGAATTTCTTTCTACATTACCACTGACTCATGGTCAGACAGTATTTCCTGAAATATTCCAGTGTCATCCAATTCTTTGATACACTGACTGTATGTATCTTCTTTTGATGTTTCCTGGATCATTGACGATTTTTCCCATAGCAACTCTAAGTATTACTTTTTCAGGCTTGATTTTGTTTTTCAGTTCCTTAAACTTGAGGAATGCCAAAAGAGTTCTTCCCTTTTTATTCTCCAATTCTAAAGTCTTGCAAGGAAACTGAGGCTTAGACTATTTTATTGGCTTGTCTGAAATGACACACCTGGTGCCCAAGCCAAGTTCCAGACCTGTATTTCTGAGAACAAACTCATACACTTTAACCATGGTATCAAATAGATGCTAGAAAAAAAAGACTTGGATTATGGTGGTGCTTGGATAGCTGCTGTCTTACAACCTGAAATCAAATAGGAGGAGGAGAACTGTTGCTAGAGGTAGAGCTGAAAAGAGCTTGATACTTTTGAGGTGTGTTGAGGACTCTCTTCATTATTATTGGCCAAGTTCATCGTGCTTAATAGAATTTGTGAAATTGGCCTCTGACTTTTGACCATGAAAAATTATGCCATCCTGTGGACTATTGTGACATGTATAATTTTCATTGGCTGATTTTTGGAACTAAACTGACAGGTTTTGCTTCCTTGTCTGGAAGCTAATCCTATTAGCATTTCAGTAACATGCACACTTTTCCTAACAGATCTGTGGTGGCTGCCCATTAGTTGCATTAGCCAGGAATCATACCCAGATCTCCCACATGGAAGCCTGAATTCTACTTAAGGGCCACTGTCTCTAGCATAATTGGTAACAGATGCGGAAGATCACCAATAAGTTGAAGATTATTTCGTTAGAATTTAGCTAGATAATTGGTTAATTTTATAACTACATGTTTTAGAGACATACCTGTTAAAAAAATTCTAAAAACTATATGTATTATCAAGATTATAGGATATTAGCTAATGGGATCCAACTTTTACATACATCTGAAGCAATTGAAATATCATGGTATGGATCATTTGCACCTTAGTCTTTAAAGTGACACCGTTACTCTGTAGTGCTTATAGGGCTCTTTGGATAGTGCAAGAACTGGTGAGGTTTCATTCTGTTGGACATAGGGTTTCTGTGACTTGTTGTGGTCTCCACATTCATGGCACCTGGCAACAAACAACATTGAAGTTAATGGGATAGATTTACTAGAATTGTGGAAATATCACTGGAGGGGCAGAAATTAGCACAGCAGTGAGGAAACTGCTTCAGATGCAAGGATGGTTTGACTTTCTTGGTATTACTAACCCTAGGAGTGAAATATCATGTCATATGCAAATTCTTAAAAAATAGGATTTGTGCTTTCTTCCAGCTTTTTATAATACTTGGAATAATAATGGAAAAGTTTGTGAAGTTTTTTGAGCACTTATAGTGTACAGTTATGTAATGTACTCAGTATTTAACATGAATTAATCTCAACTTCTGGGGGCTACTGTTACTACCCTGATTTTACTAATTAGGTTAAGCACCTTTCCCATCATCCCAAAGCAAGTCAGCTGTGAAGGTGGAATTTTAACCCCAGAACTAGTGGTGAACTGCAGAACAAGGGCTAAATAACAACTGAAGAGATAAAGAAGTCAAGAGATAAGGCAGAAAGAATCATCCCATTATGTCATTTGTGTTTATCAATGTGATTGTGTGAGTGTATGTATCTCCATGGACATTTTGTTGGTTTTTTCCTTGACCAGTGAATTATCAAACCTAAGTATTTCACGCCTTTCAGTACTTTGTTTACTTGAATAAAAGTGCATGTATTCATTTAGTCATTTGATAAGTATTGCATATTTTTTATGAGCTAGATATTACTTCAGTTACTAGGGTGCAAGGAATAATCAAGACAGTTTCCACTCAGCTGGAGACAGCCAGTACAGAACAGCCAGATAGTCTCAGTCCATCCGCTGTCATTGAATAGATTCCAACTCACAGTAGCACTGCTTTATGGAATTAGACTGCCTCACGTTTCTTCCAAGGAGTTGCTGATTTCTTGGTTAGCAGCTGAATTATTTAACTACTGTGCCAGCAGGGTGCCTTTATTATCATTCAGAAGGTATTAGATCACTGTTGGGTTCTGTTTCATGCAGGGTTCATGACAAAAATGTGTGTCTCTCATATTAATAACAGTGCTCTTAGATACTGTTAGTATGAACAGATGGTGACCCATGTGTGCAGGTTTGAACTGCTCCCTAGAGTTTCAGTCCAGTGACCTTTCAAAAGCAGGTCACCAGTCCTGTCTCCATGGCGCCTCCAGGTGGGTTTGAACTACCAGTCTTTTGAATAGTGATCTAGCATTTTACCAATTGTGTCACTGAGAGTCTATAACAGTATTAATAGTTGTTGTTGTTATGTGTCATTGAGTCACTTGTGACTCATAGCAACCCTATGTACAAGAGTCCTAAATCCTGCTCTATAGTGTGCCAACCTCTTTGTCTCCAATACACCCACTCCCGCCACCCCAATCACTGAATCGATCCATCTCATTGAGGGCCTTCCTCTTCTGCTCTATCCCTCCACCCTCCCAAACATGATGTCCTCTCCAAGGACTGGTACCTCCTTGCAACATGCCCAAAGTATGTCAGACGAAGCTTCAGAATCCTCACTCCAAGGGGCAGCCTGGCTTCACCCTCTCCAGGACAAACCGGTTAGTTAGTTCTCCATGGTATATTCAATACTCTTCTCCAGCACCACAGCTCAAAGGCATCAATTCTCTATCATCCCTAGTCACTGTCCAGCTCTCCGATTTATAGGACACAATTGCAAAGACTATAGGCCAGATCAGGTGCACCCTAGTCTCCAACCTGATATTGTTGCTCTTCATTTACTTTGGAGCGGTCCCTGACAGCTGACTTTCCCATAACAACTGGTTTCTTGATTTCCTGGCTGCTGGTACCAAGAGTGTTGACTGTGGAACCAAGTAAACTAAAACTGTTAACAATCTCAACCTCTTCACCATCCATACTGATGCTTCCAATTTGCCCAGTGGTGAGAATCTTTGTTGTTTTTTTTTTATATTGAGCTTCAATCCACATTGAAGGCTTCAGTCCTTGACCTTCTGCAGCAAGCAGTCAGGTTCTCCTCAGTTTCCACAAGCAAGATTGTGTCATTGCATAACGCTGGTTGTTGATGAGTCTTCCACCAATTCTGATACTGCATTCCTCCTCATAAAGCCAAGCATCCTGGATGATCTGTTCTGCATTCAGATTGAAAGAGATGGAGACAGAATACCCCCTTCCCAATTTTGAATCATGCAGTGTATCCTTGCTCTGTTCTGACGACTGCCTTGGTCCAAGGCAGGTTTTGCATAAGCACAATCAAATGTTCTGGGATTCCCATTCTTATCAGAGTCAGCCATAGCTTGTTGTGATCACAATTTTTTGAAAAAAGTTCTATATATGAGAATCATGTAGAAGCTAGGAGTTGAAAGTAGAGCCAAGAGTGGGCTTAAAACAAGTCAATGGGCAATAACATTCTTCCTATGGTGTGTGTTTTGGAGATACTATTTGGGGCTAGCAAGGCAAAATTGAGAATAGGTCAGGGAAAAATGCATGTAGCAGGATATACTAGTGAATTCTGTTGATGTGACAATTAGTATATATACAGATGTTTCTCATTCTCAGACAGCAATGATTAGAACTGTTGGTCCTTGTACTTTGGAATGAGGTTTTTAGGAGCATAAATAATATTTCAGGCTTGACTTGGACTAATCATTTTTCTGTTTCGTTTCTTGTTTCCTTCATTGTCATTTTGGTGTGCAGAAGTTATGTATAATATGTGAGCATTTGTGAATGGCATAATTTTCCTTCCCAAACCACTGCATAGTCTGATTTAATTTAAAACCAGCAAAAGTACGCGATAGAGGCATAGTAATCACACCTTGGTAGAATTAAAAGGCATGAGGTGCAGCCAAGTACTTTCACATCTTGTTAGTCACACTCCCTGGAGTTTCATTTCAATAATGAAATGACTGTTTTAAGCGCAATTACTGGAAACTGCCAGTCTTCGCTTAAACTCTGAACAGAGAATATGCTTGTTTTAGAAAAACCGGGAAAATATACTTGAAAGAGATTTAGCTTTTCTGATCATTTATTTTATGAAATGCTTTGATGCTGCATTCACAGGGAGTGTGAATAGTGAAGGAAAGGCTTGCTGGTCATTTGGTAGGCTCTGTTCAATCAGGTTTCTGGATAGCCTCTGTGGTTTAATGTTATACAACAAACATGCTTTATGCAGAGCAACTCTATTCTTTCTTGAAATGTTACAATTGTAAACACCATTTTTTTCTTTTATAGGAAAATGGCATTCCTACAAAGAAAGCACGAAATGATGACTATGAGGTATATCTAAAGGTTTTTGTTTGTATGGACACTTTTATTCTGTCAAAGATCTTAATAGTAGTCTGCATTTGAAAGGTGCTTCTAAAATTTTCCCATGCAAGGCTTTGATGAGCTTGGAAGCAGGAGTGGCATCTACTTCCGAAATAGCTTGCCTCTGGAAACTCTATGAACGTGGAGAAACAATGAAAATTGTACAAGTGTTCAGGTCTTTCGTTCATAGAGTCACTGAGTTTTCTACAGCTCAATGGCACTTAACAGCAAAAACAACAACATAGAGAGAGCTCTGTTGGCCTAGTGGATAGAAAAGTGATGCTACGATATCAAAGGTGGGTGATTTTAATCTCTATGGTCTTCAGGCCTTGTTTTAATTTTTGGTCAAACATTCTTCTAAGAGGTATAGCACTGGCCTGTCCATTTGCTGTACAGAGATAACTCGTGGTTGCTGTGATGCAAAACACTGTGACACTGATGTGTCAAATGTGATATTAGTTAACCATGGTGGACAGTGTTTGGTGGAGCGCCCCTGTTAAAACAAGCTTGGAAGCAGGAGTGGCATCCACTTCAAAAATAGCTTGCCTCTAGAAACACTACGGACGTGTAGAAACAATAAAAGTTATACAAGTGTTCAGGTCTTTCGTTCATAGGGTCGCTATGAGTATTCTACTGCTTGATGGCACTTAACAACAATAAGACTTTCATGTGCATTCTGGGTTTCTTTCCTCCTGTTAGCATTTTAACCAGATAGACCAGAATTATCTTTTCATTTATTTTGTAAGTAAGTGAAAAACCTGAGAGGATCAGGACATGCACTTGGATTTTAGTAGGAAGTTGCTTATCATAGTAGATGATCTTAAAAGAAAAACAATTTATTATTTATTTTCAGATAAGCTGAAAATTGTCAGTTTATCTTTTATTTATTATAAGGAAGAAGATAGTTTGAGGCTGTTTTAGAACCCTAGGGTAACACTCTTTTGGGAGTAGAAAGAAAGAAAAATAGTTTTAACAACTATATGCTGAAATAAATATACTCTAAATATATCTTTCCAGTATCAGACTGGCTAACTTTTGGTAGCTCTTGACTGAGGATCAACATGTTTGATAGCTGTCTCTATCTTGGTATTGGTGTCCTTTTATCCCACTGAGACCAGAAGCTTTTCCTTCTATTTGTCTTCTCTATATTTCTCTCAGTCTTATTTCCATCTATTCTCTAATCTAAATGAAAACTGTGAGTCCAGCCTTTGGATCCATTTCTGAATATAGCTGTGAGAATGGTTTCATTCCCGTAACCTTTGTCTACCTTTATCTTCCGTTTTCTTAAGTGAGTGTTCACCAAAATGGTCCTTAGACCATCTAAATTGAAATCACTAAGAGCTCTTGCTAAAAATTCAAGATTCCTTGGCTCCATCCCAGATCTACTAGATTAGAACCTGTACAGTTTTAGCAAATACTCCAAGTGCATCTAAACACAGTAACGTTTAGAATCTACTGCCCTAGATATTAGTGAGCTCTGAGGGCCTACTGGGTAAAGCATTGCATTGCCAACCCAAAGGCAGAAAATTTGAATCTGAAAGGTGTGAAATCTCATCTTATACAACTTACAGCTTCAGAAAATCCACTGGAGGGTTAGCGTTGAGCTGGTTATGACATAATGGCAATGAGTGAGTTTTGAGCTGATGTCAGAGCCTCTCTGTCTATATGAATCCAGCCACAGCTCTGAGGGAGAAAGATGAGCCGTCTCCTTCCATTAAAATTTACAGCTTTGGGAACATAATGGAGAGTTGCTATGTGTCTAAACCAACTCAATGGCAGGCAATGTGGTTCAAGTTTTTGAAATAATAGGTAAACAGAAACTTTGGAGGTTGAAAGCTGCTTGAGTTCCTTTGAGCTGTATGTTGCTGTTAGGTGCCATCAAGTAGAGTTACAAGTAGTCATAGCACCCTATAAACAAAATATCTGAACCCTGCTCTCTTCTACACCATCTTCACACTTCCTAATACACTTCCTAACCCATTGCAGCAGTCACCATTCAGTCCACCTGGTTGAGGGTCTTCCTCTCCTTCACTGCCACTGCACATCTCCTAGCAACATGCCCAAAGTATATGAGGTGAATCTTCATTCTTGCTTCCAATGAGCACTCTGGCTGCACCTTCTCCGAGACATATTTATTCTCCCGGCCATCCATGGCATGTTCAGTGCTCTTCTCCAACATACAGCTCAAATTCGTCTTCTATCATCCTTATTCATCCAGCTCTCAGATGCATAGTAATTGGAAAGACTGACCTGAATCAGATGCCCCTTAGTTCTCAAACTCATTGCTCCTCATTAATTGTGTGTGTGTGTGTGTGTGAAGTACTTTGTATATTGATCTATAAACAATTGTTTCAGAGAAAAAAAAATATTTTGAGCGCATACATCCAAAATAAAATTTAACTCATACAACACAATTTACTGGATATGGCCAGATTTAAGGTGTTGTGTTGTTTTTGTTTTTTTTTAAATTTTATTTTAAACATTTTGTGTAGTTTTTGTTGTTGTTACTGTGTACCGTTGAGTTGGACCCAACCCGTAGCCGACCCTCCAGTGCTTTTTCAGAGGCAGTTAACCACACTGGAGGAGACTGCCTATCTTCTGCTACAGAGCTGCTGTTGGATTCAAACTTTTGCATTGGCAATGCAATTCCTAATCACTAAAGCCATTGGAGCTCTCTTTAAGAATTAGGAAAAATAAAACATAAACAAAAAGAATTAGAAAAAAAATCATGTCTCCTTTGTTTTTTGCCCAAGTAGATGAAAGTTATGGATTGCTTTTTCATATATGTTTGCAGTAGTTCTTCCTGATTTTGGAAACAAAAATTAGAGATGAAAGTAAAGGATTGAAGGAAGAAGCCTATCCTCCTACCCACTATTTAACTTTCTGATTTGATTCATGTCTCCTTGTTTCTTTTTTTTATTTTCTAATAATAAATTTCAGTAGCCACATTTTTGACTTATAAGAGCACCTAATCTTGGGATGCTCTAGTGGTTTAGAGGTAAAGAGTGACGCTACCAACACAAAAGCACCAGGTTCAAATCCACTGGCTGTTCCTCCAGAGAAATATGGGGAGTCTCCTCCCGTGTGACTTACAGCCTCTGAAAACCCACTGCAGAGTCAGCTATGAATGAGTTATTTCCAGCTTGATGGCCCATAACAACAGTCTCAGGAAAAACATGCTAACATTATTAAGAACAGGCCACGAATAAAGAAAGACAGACTGAGAAAAAGATCTTGGTGATCTGGAATGAATCTGAAGGCAAAGGAATTTCTAGAGTGTAGTTTTTGCAAGCTAAACATTCAAACCTTATGTATTGTACTTTGGACTAATTGAAGTGTCTGTGAGTGGCTTTGGTAGGTGTCGTATGAAATGATTGTCACTAGCTTAGTCTTCTCTGTTGCCTCTAAGTATTCATCCACATGCATTTGTTCTCCTGCAGCCAGCCTTTCGGAGATGAATAAATTATGTGAGCATCTGTCATTTACTTAGGTTTTTCTTTTTTAATGTCTGCTTTAGACATATTTAAACAGGTGTCTAGGTCCCTCATGAAAGAGCATAGAAAATGAAACATAACAACAGCACTGTGCATAAGCTTGCTTAAGATAGGCATGTGACATCTCAGAAACAATTGTTGAGAAATCATTCTCATTTTTATTCTTTATCTTAACATGCCATCTGTAACCATAAACTTCATCTACAAAAACATAATAAAAAGCCATCATTCCTTTTGTGACTGTTTCTATTTAGTTGTATAAATAGCGTTGTTTGAATTACTAGCATTCCATGTTCACTAACATAGAAGAAATTGAAAAGGTAAAACTTAACAGCACATTAAAATTGGATAGGTGTCTCCCAAAAACGATCATTGCCCTGACTCTACCCAACACCATTTGAATTAAAATATGGGGAAGTGGAGCTCTAGAAATATGTTGTATTTACTTATTTTAATTGGTTAAAACTTCTTTGGTTCATGTGTGGCAAGATTAGCATATTGAGCCACTGTTTCTTAAATGGTATGCAGTGATTGAGCGATTCTTTTGAGGGTTGTTTATTTTTCATATGTTGTTACTTGATACTTTTAAAATATTCAGAAAAATTTCTATATAAAATTGTATAAATATTTATAAATATTCCTGAGCAGACCACTGATAATCTGCACATTATTATTTTTTTCCATAGTAAGTTTTTGTTGTTGTTGTGTACCGTAGAGTTGGAACTGACCCATAGCTGATCCTCTGGCGGGTTTTCAGAGGCAGTAAATTGCACGGGAGTTCGTTACGAACATCAAAATGGCATGCAAATCAGCTTTAAATTTTTTTTTTTACTTTAACTTTTAAACTGTCTCTTTTTAAGCCAGACAGTAGGAAGTTCTTTTTTTGCAGTGTTGACCTAGAATCTCTCTTGTTTTTCACACTCTAAAATGTTCAGAAATGTAAAAAGAAGCACTAATCCTTTTTAAAAGTTTTTGGAACCTTACACTGTTAGGTATACAAACTAAGTTTAGAAAAGTTAGCAGCCTAGTTTACTGGAACCACTTTGTATGTACCATAAAACTTTAGTTACTGCCTGTACTAGTATCCTTAATTTTTCATCATAGAATCATAACGTGGATTTACATTTTATCATAATAATTTTAAAAATGTTTTACTTTAGAATTTTCATTTAAATTACCTAATTAATCTTCATAATAACATATGTGGTGAATAGGACAGAGTACTATACCCATTTCATAAATTGGATGAATTAAGTCTGATAAATGATAGATGCAATCTCTTCTTCCTTTTATAGTAAAAAAAAAAAGGCCAAAAAAAGGGGGGGGTTGATAAAGAGGGGATGAAAAGTTTCCTGACTTCCTTCTAGTTCTGTTATTATATTGCAAAGGTGTTTTCAGAATTGTGTTCGCCTCTAATACTCTGAAGCAGTGGACAGGTGATGGCACAGTGGTGCCAATTCTAACAGCTTCATTATTTAGAGAAAAATTAAGACAGAAATATGATGCCAATTATAACCGATTTTTGTGTTTCTTTTGGGGGGAATGTAAAGTAAAAAAGTAAATGATAGGCATATATTTCTCTTTCTCTTTTTTAACTGCAGAATATATTTAATATGGTGGTAGAAGTACCTCGTTGGACAAATGCTAAAATGGAGGTATGTATATACTACTAATATAAACTGGTAATTATCACCTAACAATGACATTTTGAAAACGTGGGTGTTTTTGTTTCTTTTTCCTTAAGTTATTTTGAATTTGAAACAATTGAAAAACTTCCTTATAATTAAAAGGTTTCAAAACATTTTTCTTTTCTTTTTTTTTCTTAAAATTTTATTTTATTATTTTGTGTGTGTGTACCGTCAAATCAGATCTGACTGGTACAGGAGGAGGACATTGCTCCTCCTTCTCCATTGGAGAATCTAGTGGATTTGAACCATGCGCCGCTGGGATTACAGTGCAGCTTTTTGCCACTAGGCCACCATAGCTCCCTCAAAACATTTTTCTAAAGTTAATTTGATTTTAAATTGTTTGGTTGAGTATGGTCAGGACGGAACCAGCTCATAGCTGATTCTCCAGCAGGTTTTCAGAGGCATAAAATTGACCAACTTTCTCCTATTGAGCAGATGATGGATTCAGAGCTTATTTCTGCCTTTGCATTCTGTCTATCACTAGACTATACTTTGAGCTCCTCAGGTAGTGTAGTCCCAAGTGAGTTGTGCTGCTGACCTAAAGGCTGAGTATCACCTGAGGGTTGAATCCAGCAGTGAGTCAGATAAACTCCTGTAGAAATTTATAGCCTTGGAAACCTGATTGAATGTTGCTGAGAGTCAGAGCTGATTGACAGCAATGAATTGGAGATATTTTTTTAGTTTATACTTTAGATTGCTCCCCCTCATTTTTCTATCTCTGTTATAAAGACTTCCACTTAATTTTATTTGATTCTTCTTTATTAGAAACATTTTCAGTTTATTTATTAGATTCTGAAATGTATATAATTCACAGACACAACTGAAATATGTTTATTTGGAACTGGTGAACTTTTTAGGTCCTAAAGATTTAATTCTCCTTTAGATGCTGAGGTGTAAGTTTTTCTTTGGGATTTATGATCTGTAGTTCCTATGGGGTGGGTCTTGTTCATTAATTTTTAAAAATTTTTTTCATGACATTAAGATCATTAAAACATCCTTATCAGAATTCCCCTTTTGTTTTTCCAACTTTTCCTGTTCCATCCTCTTTTAAGCAAGATTTTTTCTAAATTCTTAATGAAATATAATTTGTTTTATTATTTAAACTTTTAGATGCAATGGTAGGTATTTTTTCAGGGATTTAAATTAGGAATTGTTATGGGGATATGTGTTTGTAGAAATTTCTGTTTGGAGAATTGTCCATAATTTCAGTAGTATTTTTTGTTAATGTTTTAATAGGAAGTTGTGTGTATCATCAAGTTGGAACTGATCCAAAGATGACCCTCCAGTGGGTTTTCAGAGGCAGTAAATTGCCTGTTTTTCTCCCACTGAGCATCTGGCATCTGCTGAATTTGAACTGCATGCTTTGGAGATTGCAGCACAGTTTCTTACTACTAGGGCACTCTCTTTAATAGGAAGAATAAGAGATATTCTTCATTTGCTCCTGCTCTGAATATAATGGATTCAAGACTTTATGAGATTCTGCTTTGCTTAAGCAGTTCTTTTTCATTCATAAATGGCTTTATTTATTGTTTTCTTAAGTATTTTCTCTTTTAATGTTAATGTGTATATATTACTCAGAAAACTAACTTTGAAATAAGTTATTTTATGAGATTCTTTGAGTTTTATTTTTAATTTTTTTACTGTGATTTTTAGTGAAAGTTTATAGATATGGACTTTCATTCATAAACATTTTCCTCCCTCCCCCCAGCCCCGATTCAGTTTGAAATGCTTGTCCTGTTCCTAAATGTATGGTAAAATTGATATTGGTAACAAAAACAAGTTGATTAATATTAATCATCTTGCCATTTCAGTCATTATATTGTTCATGTTAGAAATAATGGCATAACAATAGGTAAATAATCTGATATGTCCATTCCAACCAGGTTTTCTTACATAGATGGCATGCATTTCTAGTAAGAACTGCCTCAGTTTATTTTTTAATACTTTTGATCAGTAAGTTGGAATGTGAATAGTTAGTTTGAATAGCAGATTTCTAAAACATTGTTTGACTGCAGGATTAATCATTTCTCATTTCCTTCTCCCCTTTTTCTTGCTGTGATCTGCTTAGATTGCCATTGAGGAGCCATTGAATCCCATTAAACAGGATGTAAAGAATGGCAAGCTGCGCTATGTGGCAAACATCTTCCCTCACAAGGGCTATATATGGAATTACGGGGCCCTCCCTCAGGTAACATTTTTGTTGTAATGGTGAAACTTTTCTGTCGTCTGAGTAAATTGCCTTGTAAATTTTGTGAACTTTATGAATTTAAATTGGTTCTGAGTACAGTATTGGTTTGAGAGATTTGTACATATGAATTTTTTTAATGTAGACTTTTATTGTATCAATAAATTTTATTTCAAACCATATATATGTCCATACCCAGGTTTTTTTAAATTTGGGGTATAGAACCCTCACTTTTGGCATTTGAATGCATTTCCCCCCTGGAGTTGGCTATTAAATGTTAGTGAAAAATGTTTAAGAAGACTTTATTGGCACTCTGGTGGCCTAGTGTCAAGAAGCTGCACTGCAGTCCCGAAGGTTTATGGTTCAAATCCACCAGATGCTCCACTGGAGAATGGGCATTCTCCTTCTGTGAAAATCTTCATGTTAATAAAAAACTGAGTCTTCATTCATTAAAAAAAAAAGATAATAAGGCTTTATCAACATTCTTTGGATTGATAACATTAATTTTATTTTTTTTAAATGCTAAGAGTTTTTAAAGTCTTAGCTTTTCCCTCCAGAGTTTATTTTAAAATGAGTTAGACACATTGCGTTTTTCATTGTTCTGAGTTTCTAGTTTTTAAGTGACAGTAGAGGGAAAAATGGAAAGCAGAGATTAAGTATTAGTTAGAGAATAACACTTGCTTTGCTTCCTATTTTTGTATCATTTGAGTGTTTTGTTGTATTTCCTGGTTAGTAAATAACTTTTCTGTGATCATTTGAATGAGTAAAATCAGACCATTCAGAACCAGTGTCTAAGTATTTGGGACATAAAAGAGCATCTGAATGTATGTTTAAAGGTGCTATTAAGATAGTCATCTGTTTGGAAACTTAATTTTTATCTATGTTAATGTTAATTTTTTATGTAGAATTCAAGATTCTGTTGAGGAATTATGGATATGGAGGGATGATCTTACTTCATCTACTCCTAAAAAGAACAGCTGCCCATGTAAAATAAACACTTACAGGAAAAGAAAAGAGGAAATCGTTTCCTAAGCAGTCAGATTGCCTTTGATGCAATTAGACCACCCACATGATTATGTTCTTTTAAAACAGACACTTTTTTTCTAAAATGATGTTAACAATGAAAATACCTGTTGAGATAACAAAAGCAGATTTTATAACTTCCCTAGATGCCTAAATAGACATTTTGTTTGACCTGAACACAAAAGAATGAAGGGGGTTCAGAAGGTTTAGGAGCCACTGCAGGAGAGGAATGTGCCGATGAGAGGAAGGCTAAATAAACCACTGGACTAGAGACCCACAAAACAGTGAGATGGAGTAAAGCAGACAGAGCGTGAACTATTCATTTATTTCAGGAAACATTTTTTAAGGGGTTGTGTGTGTGTGTAAGGACATGCAAAATATAGGTGTTCAGGAGAGCATAATAAATGCTTACATGTGAAAACTACAGAACAATATCATTGATTTCACATGCAAGCAAGATTCTACTGAAGATTATCCAAATACGACTGGAACAGCACATCAGCAGAAACTGCTAGAAGTCTAGGCTGGATTTAGAAGGGGTCTTGGTACTAGGGATACTGTAGCTGATGTTAGATAGATCTTAGCTAAAAGCAGGGAATACCAGAAGAATGTCTATCTGTGTTTCATTGATTATGCAAAGGCGTTTGACTGTGTGGATCATAACAAACTGTGGCTGACTCTGAGAAGAATGGGAATCCCAGGACATTTAATCGTGCTAATGCGAAACCTATACTTGTACCAAGGGGCAGTCGTCAGAACAGAGCAGGGTAACACTGCATGGTTGCAAAATTGGGAAGGGTGTATGCCAGAGATGTGTCCTATCTCCATACCTTTTTTACAGAGCAGATTATGCGAGAGGCTGGGCTCTATGAGGAGAATTGTGGCATCAGGATTGGTGGAAGGACCTGAAGCCCTTGCTGCAGAGGGTCAAGGACTGTAGCCTTCAGTATGAACTGAGGCTCAATGTCAAGAAGACAAAGATTCTCACCACTGGACCATTTGGTAGCATCAGGATGGATGGCAAAGAGATTGAGATTGTTCACAACTTCAGTTTGCTTGGCTCCACAGTCAACACTCTTGACACCAGCAGCCAGGAAATAAAAAAATGTATTGCGATGAGAAAGTATGTTCTTAGGGACATCTCTAAAGTACTCACGAGCAACGGTGTCTCTCTGGAGACTAAGGTGCGCCTGATACAGTACATGGTCTTTGCAATCAGTTGTTATGCATCAGAGAGTTGGACAATGACTAGGGAGGATAGAAGGAGAATTGATGCCTTTGAGCTGTGGTGCTGGAGAAGAGTATTGAATGTACTATGGACTGCCAAGAAAACAAAAGTTTCATTCTAGAGAGGGTTAAACCAGGCTACTCCTTGGAGGCAAGGATTCTGGGGCTTCGTCTGCCATACTTTGGACATGTTGTAAGGAGAGACAGGTCCTTGGAGAGGGACATCACGCTTGGTAGTGTGGAGGACAGTGCAGGAGGGGAAGACCCTCTATGAGGTGGATTGATTCAGTGGCTGGGGTAATCGGGATGGGTGTGTCAGAGGCAATGTGATTGGCACAGGATAGAGCAGGGTTTAGGGCTGTTGTACATAGGGTTGCTATGAGTCGCAAATGACTCAACGGCACACAACAACAGTCTTGGTCAGTTTACCTTGTCTTTCTGTTCCTCACTTTCTTTACCTGTAAGGTAGGATAAAATACCTACTGCGTTTGATACTATATCTGATTCGGAGGATAAACAAGTTCTAGCACCTCCATGCTTAGCGTAGTGCCTGATAGACCTCAGCAGTGAGCTTCGCCACCACAGACACTGTGAGATTGGTGCAGGATTGGGCAGCCCACAGGACTGCCATGAGTTGAAGCTGACACAGTGGCATCTAACAACGTTAAAACGGAAAAAAAAATTCTTCTATGACTTTTTCCCTGGACAAAGAGACAGAAAATAAAATAAATCAATAAAATAGATATGATGTCAGGTGATGATAAATGCAGTGGAGAGAAAGCAAGCCAGAAATGGAACTTGTGTGTTTGAGGTTAGCAGGGCAGCTCCCTAAGGACTGTACCCCCGAGCTCCTGTAGCATAACAATCTCTGGGATTGTTATGGTTTAGACAGGCTACAGGAGGCCTGGATGAAAAGATAGCCTTGTGTGAAGACCTTAAGGAAATGAAAAAACGAAGGAAAGAACAGCAAGTATAGAAGTTCTGAAGTAGGCGTAGGCCTGGCATGTTTGAGTTACAGTAAGGAGACCATTGTTGCTATAGAACACAAGGGAGAAGGAAGAGACATTTTTCTTTCTGTTATTCTAACCAGGTATCTTTTTTAAACCCAAATATGTAGTTTAATAACAGGTGTTTCAGTTTTTAGGGAGAAAATACACTACAGGTATTGATGTGGAATCAACCCGTAGCTGGCCCTCTGGCGGGTTTTCAGAGGTGGTCAGATCACCCAGGAGATGGCCTGTCCTTCTCCTGGAGCAGGAGATTTGAGTGGTGGATTTGAGCCTCATGCCTTGAAGATTGAAGTGCAGCTTTTTGCCACTACATCACTAAAGTTAGGTTTCATCAAATCAACTATGACTCATAGCGATGGCATGTGTTAATTATTTTGCTGGCAGAAGTAATGAACTCAGATAATGTTTCTGACAATTTTAAATTATGTCATTTGCTTACAAGAAGGAAGCTCTGGTGGTGGAGGCACTCTCTGATAGTTCGAAGCCACCAGCATCTCTGAGGGAGAAAAGTTCAGTCTTTTCCGGGGTAATTCACAGTATCCAGATACCTACTAGAGGGTCAGATTTAAGAGAGTTCTGACTCCTTGGCAATGTGTGTGTGTATGAGAGGGAGTGAGAGAGAGATCGTTTTGCTTGAGTGTGGATGTTTAAATAGAATGAGGCTATTTAAATACAAAGCCAAATTTCTATAATCACATTCATTTTTCTGGTCTCATCTCCATTGCCCCCTCTTTTATCGTTTCCTTCTGCCTTACTCCTGTTCATCCACACTGGCTTTATCATGAGTCCTCTGTTCCGCTCATTATGCTCCTGCCTTAGACTTCCATGTTCTGTGTTTTCTAGCCTCTTCCACAGTTGTCTACATGGCCCATCCCTTTCACTTTTGCTTTTAAGTCACCTTTGTTATGGTGTCTACCCTGGGAATCCTTTAAAAATTTCACCCTGCCTCCTTTGCTCTCATTTCCCCTTCCATATTCTGATTTCCCCCTTTTTCCACAATACTTACTATCTTCTAACGTGTCATATGATTTGTTAAGGGGTTTTTGCCAGTTTCTTTGAGCTGGAAGACAGACTCCGTGAGGCCAGAATGTCTCTCTATTTGATTCACTGTTACAGTCTAGCTCTCTAACATAAAGCTTGGCCCAGATCAAAAAATATTCGTGGAGTTAAGTAATGCATGTTCTCTCTCTTTCTCTTTTTTTTTCTCTCTCTCTTCTTTGTGTGTGTGTGTTGTATTTGTTTCATGGACATATGCGTGGGGACTGGATCTTGCTGTTTGTGAATCATTTTGTAGTGGCATGGAATCTGTTGCCAAGCCAACCTTGCTTGGAGGAACATAAACAGTAGGATACTGTTTAAATAGTAGTCTCTCTCCACTTAACTTGCAAGTCATCATTGCTCTCGTTGTTGCAGACCTTCAGCTGTCTATACACTGTTAACACTAATGATTTCTTTATGACTGCCAAAAATATCTTCCGTTGAAATGTGAGTTTGGCTAGGACAAAAATTTTCCTTGTTTTGGTTTTTCCCCAAAAGTTCATTTTTTTCACCTATCCCTGGTGGTTCATCTACTGTCCTATTTCTGTGAATGAAGACTTAGAATATTTGGATAATATTCAATATGAAATTAAACATCTTCATCAGTCTTACTGTAATATTGATGCTTACTATTTTGAATTTCATTATGAATTTTATTCATTGACTCAGAATATCCATATAATAGCTTTCTAACCTGCAGCTTAG